TTTCTTTCGGTAAGAAAATTTTTCATGATAATAAGATTATTTGCATAGTCAGTATATAGTGAATCGATCTGTATATTTTGATCCAAGGCATTTGCAACTTCTTGCAGGTGTATCAACATAATGAAGCACTTTTAATCCACAAAATTTGGCTCTATTGCTTTTTTGAACACGTTTCGGATCTTTTTTTGCTGTGTGATTTGCAATGGTGTGTGTTACAACTATGTTCCATTTTCGCAAATTCAAAAACAACGACAAAGTCAATCTTGTTCTAATTTCATCAAAACTGTCTTAACGCTCCTAGAATTTTCATGCCTCGCATGTGCTATTTTTTCAACTGCAATATTGTCTACACCACTACACTGTCTGATATTTGTGGACGGTAACTGGCGTTCTGTTTTGTTTTTTATTTACTGAATGTTGCAAATGTGAATTATTTTTAAAAGACGATGTTATTGTTAATAATGATTAAGTTTGCCGCTGGGTGCAGGTAATTTATTTGTGTTATTAATAAATGAGCTAGAAAGGGCGACTAGTTCCCGATATGATCAATATATAGATACATATGGACAGTTTTAATATATAAAACGAGATATAGTAACTATAATATAATATAATAATGTGTTATTATTATTTAAATACATAATATATTACTGAGATTACTTTCTCATCTTCCTGTATAATAGTTTTTATTTCCTTCTTCATCTTGAAGAAAGAAAATATTTGCGTATTGTGCTTCAAGTTTTCTTATTTTATTTAAAAAGTATATAATATTTATATGTTCATTTTTTATTTTTATTCAGTTGAAATATTTCTTAAAATATTTATTAGGTGCTTTATATGTTTAGTAGTACCCCGAGGATGTACTAATAAGACATTGAAACGTCGCTATGAAGACAAATTTGGTTGAATCATGATCTAGATAAGCATTTTGTAAATAAATATCTTTTTCCACTTAGTAGTAGTAGAGACTCTAAATCACCTAATTATTCACTGATCAGGCGTGCGCAAAATGTCATTTTAACGCGTCTGCTTCGTTAAATGCTTCGCACGTTTCCTCAGGTACTTTAGTCACGGGTTCGGGACTGATCCGATGTTTTCGAAAGATTTTAAGCCCTACTAATATGTAGCCAAAAACTAGTGGTAGAAAAAGTATAGTATGCAGCTTGTTGATAAACTTTTTTGCACATTTATTTATCGAACACCCGCCTCGCTTGTGCCAAATGAAACTCGTGACTAAAGTGGCGTTTATGAAACTTGTTCCATAATACACTAATTTCGAAAACACCAGTTGGGGACACCTTCCGCTTACGTGATTTGACGAAGACTGATCGAAAACCGATAATCACAGAGCAAGGGACAAACAATCGGCTTCCGATTTACAAGGAACAAACAGGGAAACGGACGAAACCCGTGCGCAAAGCGTGAATTACCAATTAACGAAATCTTGTGACCGAATCAAATTGTCGATCTTGACAAACAGCCTGGCTGTCTGCAGGTTTGGGGATTTCGCCTTTGGATTGGATTAGATTAACTTTCATTTGTAGGTGTATAAGCGGGAACTTTAGCGCATGGCGTCGAGGGTCAACATTATTATCGTATTGATTTCTGAAGTCATTCAAATTAAATTGAAAAAGTTGTCTCTCTCTTTTTTTTATTACATTAGAACTAAGTATTTTAAATATTCCACTATACATAGGATTTACATTTTTTAAACGGAAAGCGCTGTATATTTTTACACTTTTAGGTTCTATGGAAATTATAAAACGTTCTATGTAACTTCTAATATAACTCTTGAGCTGTTTTGAAGATAAAATTTATTTTTTAGAAAATTGGGGGAAATAAATAACTATTTTTTAACTTGCTGTATTACATCATGATATGAGATTTAAGTTATATATACACATATAAGGTGTTTGCAAAATTAAATGCATATTTTGTAAAATATGTAAATTTTATGTATATATTTCATTGCGGCATTAAAAGGAAAGATTCATTCTTGATCCACAAATGTAACATACCATACCTAATTTGAACCGTTTTTGAGTTAAAAGCAAAAAACCAGAACAATGCAATTTTTGCTTTCAACTTCAAAAACAAAATATACAATATTCTTGTAAACACCTTATATGAGATGACTTTAATCTCCTATGATATGAGACAGCAGCCTATTGACAAGCTGTGAACAAAATTTTACATTTTTATCTGGAATCATCAACCATGGTTAATTAAAATTATGATGCTTTTGCAAAATTTTGAAAAAATATTTTGTTCCTCCAAAATTGCTGAAAAAACTACAACATGTTTTACACAGAAAGTTTCGGAATTTCCGTCGTCTATTCCATTTTAAAAGATGAGGTTGGTGTCTAGTTCGAGTAGATGATTAATAATTTCTTCCGAGGATAATATACCACTGATGTTGGGAATATAAGCGTATTTTTCAAACGAAATCTAATTAAAGGAAGTCGAAAAAAAAAAACAGACTCAAAAATGAACATTTGAAAAATAATGGACTAAGTAAGTAAGTAAAAACTAGTAAAAGTAAGTTTTAATATTGAGCGCTGAATTGTGCTTTAGAATGTAATTAAGGGAAGGAGACTTTTAATTAGTTTTTAGCATTAGGACATCGGTGACCTAGTAAGTTTTTTTACTATACACAGTGCGTGGATATGTTTGTTCGGTATTTTGCAATTAAGTATCGTGCTGGCAAATTGCCTCAGTATTTTGCATTTAGTGTGGAAGGTTTTTTTACCGACCGTTATTTGCCGCAGAGTTAATCGTAAATATTAATATTTTGGTAATGAACAAAAAATTAATAAAAAATGTTAAAGCGAAAACAGGATATGACAAAGACGTCATGGTATGATTTTAGTTGACAATACTTTCTTGAAAAATTTCCTAGTAGAATTTGGTTATACAGGAACGAATGCGACTTAAACAATGTAAATCTGAGAAAAGACCCCGTATATTAACGCTTCCGAACGTGCCCGCCTGATTCCACTTAAAATGGATAAATAAATTTTCTTGGCACTGCCGAACGAAAGGAATTCAATACCGGAAACATTTATCTTAAAGATTTTTTCGCTTCCCTTTTCCTCTTGTCCCACGTCACGGTTCGGAAGGGTCCGTTTGTTTGTGGAGGGGTGGGGAAAAAGCGAACGGAGGAGCAAAAATACTGTCCAAGACATGGACAAAAGTGTTCTCGTCACCCCAGGCCATCCATCCATAGGAAACGAATAGTCGTAATCCGAACAGATTTACGGAGGACAATAATGTTTTATTGGAGGGCAAAAAAATGCTTCCAATCATGCGGAACGATTTTGCAACCCTGACTTGCTAGGAACAATGGACTTGTGTAAATTTCCGTTTGCGAATATTTAACATAGTTATTGTTAAATTGTGAGTGACATTTCTTAGACTAAACAAATTTCACTTTGAATATTTGAAGGAGGATTTTTGGGCTCAGTTTAATAAGAAACCTTCACACGGGAAACAGCAGCAGAAATTAGCAAATATTATTACAGTTGGTGGCAGGCCACTGACATATCTTCTAATAATAAAAGACATTTTTTGTACGTCACACAGTTTTTTATCAAAAAAACTTCTTACCCTACACAATTTCGTCGATGAAAATATAAAGGTCAGGTTCCATATTTGGAAATGAAAAGAAATCTGGTACATTAACAAAGATATTTAAAAAAAATGATTTCTTTTTATATCTCAAAATACTTTTGGGCATACTTTTATTTCGCCAACCCCACAAAGTTGAGTTTAGCAGTTTCAAGTGGTATTCATAATTATAATTGGTGTAATGTAATCCAAGCAACCAGATAATGCTTTTCCGAACAAGCGCCTAGTCAGTAGAAGTTCCGCTATTTAAGGATGCCGCTTTCAACCGACTAGCAGCCACTCCTCCATTCTCGATCTTCGTTTGGTTAGGTTTTTTTCGCTGGCAACCTCTGTTCTGATTTAACTGACGACTTGTCCTAGGACTCCTGGCTTATTTTCGGGTCCTCAGCGCTAACCTTCTATTGGCTTGTCCTTCCGGTTCCCCCTTTAAGTGCCAGTCGCACCTACGATGCCGTTGTGTAGGTTTGTAAATTCAATAAAGAAAGAGTGTTTTGCAGAGCCAATATTATTTATTGAGAGCTCCACTGTCGCTGAAAAGCTAAGCACCCAGCCATTGCTGGTAGACGATATGAAGTTTCATTCTTAAAATTGGACCAAAATATTAAACGTCCATAACTTGTCGTCGCATGATTGAAACCAGTCCTGATTGTCTTATTTCGGGCCATTCCTAACCCTAAAATGAATTACGACGATTTACTTGCAATTGTTAATTGCGCAACTACTCCCGGTAATATAAAGTTACTAAAAATAGTGTTTCCCAGAATATTTTTTTCTAATTTTGATATGATTATCCAAGTTTTGCTTTTCGTAACATTCGTTTTTAAAAGTCCCACTTTAAACTCCTTTAGTCACTATAATATTAAAATTTTGACAAGTAATTTCATTTACTGGTGATTTTGAAAATATTGTTTTTTTATTTGTCCAGTAAATCCCAGTCCAGAATAACGTAAACAACTGCGGAAATATTTTTAGATGAATACGTACTTGGAGTTGTCGCATTTCCTTGCAATTGAATGAATGAATCTTGCTTTAGCACGAATCTTTGATTCAAAAAACTGTTTTACATTAATTTGTTAAGCTTACCTCATTTATTATTGTTATGCCACATTTCTTTCCGTTGGCGTATTTTTATTTACTAGTTTTAGTACATATTACTCATTTTTGTGATACTGATGTTAATTTTTCAAAGAAACTTCAACAAGCTACTGTAATACTATTTACAAATTTTGCTCACAAACTTGCTCATGTTGTTGGATATGAACAAATACTTTTGTCGCTTTTTTTATAAGCGTCCATTTTTGAGTAACAGATTTTGCATTTACTTAACAAATGTTAAATTAAATGTGTATTTATTTGTTTTTTCTTTGTTTCAGGTTACTAAATAGCTGTTGTACTTTATAAAGGGTGCCTGGAAGGGCAGACTGTTATACAGGGCTTACCGGACATTGGTTTTGTACTAACCCAGGTGTGTATTACGAAACAGGACTAATTTATTCACCCTGTGGGGGTCAAACAACCAATAGAGATATTTTTTGTTAATTTAGAAGTGCGCTTTAGTTTCGAAACTTTAACAATTTTAAATAGTTTATTTTTAATTCGTTATGTTAGCGATGAAAAATCGTTTTAGTACGGTTGTGGCTTGAACTTCTTGCGATAATGTTCGAAACCTATTTTTTTTTTATTCCGCGCAAGATGCTCGGCCGAAAGTCGTAAGTGGATTTCCGGACGACACGATTCCCCATCATCTTCGAAGTGTTTATGAAGCCGTTCGGCGGCGCGGCAACCCCCTCCGGTCCTCCATTTGCATTCATATTCTGCCCTCTCCGGTGTTATTAAATTTTATAGGCGGTTTTCCTCGCTCGCGCCCCGCGGAAAGCTACCCCCACGCGCAAGGGTTCGCGTGTTATTCATTTGCATTGTTACACGTTTTTGCCATTTGTGAATTTTTTTTGAACGTTTTGTCGTTTGTCCGTAGATGATAGAGGGTGAAATAAAAAAAAATCATATTAATTTTGGGTCCTCCATCGAAACGTGACGAAGAAATTTCTTGTTTTCTCCTTTCGGATCTGTTTCATTGGTATCTTGTGTTACAGTTGCGTTAATGAGGTATTGACAATTTAGTACTTAGACAAGACCAAGAATGGATTACCAATACAATCTTGCGATTGCAGAGAAATTTTATCGGTTAAACCTACACTTAATTAAGATATGGAATCAACGGGAGGGACGAGAAATGTCACATTTGTTGCGGTGTAAGATTTTCCTTCTTGTCTTCATTTTTTTTTAAATCTCAAAGTGCCTTCCCCAAGTTTTTATACTCTATTGTGACAAATGTTACCAAACAGGTGGTCTGAATCGCCCGGTGTAAATTTTATTTTTATTATTTAAGCAGCAGATATGTCGAGTTGCTTTGGTGCTTTGGGTTGTCGAATTGAACGATCGATTTTTTTTTTGTCAATTGACCGAAATGATTTTAGAAATACATTGAAATTTATATCTATTTATTTTGTGTATTACGTAGCCATCGCATTGTTATGATAAGTAAATGGAGTGGATATTTTTACCGGGAGTCCCAAATTGCTAAGTATCGTATTCGGGTATTCCTTAAAAAGGGTTATAAGTAAATTGAACATCACAAACGCATAATAATTTATTTAAAAATGTTTAAATTAAATTAAATGTAAAAATTTAACTATTCAATTAAGAAATAATCGATAGACATAGCTATCCGCTGTGATTACCACAGTCATAGTTATACGCTGATGACACTGTAAAACAAATTTCAGCGACAAGAATTCTTAATATTTGTGAAGAATCAGTCTTTAAGTTCTCAAATAAGGCTCACTTTAACTTTTTTTTGACTTAACTTTTCACTTTGGATTAGTTAGGTTTGGGACACTCAAAATTTTGGATATGTTTATAAATCTCAAGTTTTGAAGAATATAAAAACTTGGGTATAATCTGCTGTAACGAACTGAGTATGCGAACCAGTGGTTCTGAGTCTTCTTATATTACAGTAATTTTGTTTATGAACCTTAGATACTAAATATGAATTAGAAAAAGTACAGAATTCCTGTATTCGCCATATTTACATCGAAGAGATCACTGAGTCACAAAATTTACGATTTAAAATGGATATAAGTATATACCGAGTTGAGAATAATTATTTTTTTTGCTTTCGTCTTAAAGTACTTTAGAATAGTCCTGATATGTGTTGGAAAAAATTATTAATATCGAGAGCGTCCATTTCCGTGGAACTCGCTTTTTTCTGAAGAATTCCTAGGCAATTAAGAACAACTGCAAAATAACGGAAAAAAGGAAATATATTTTATACCGGTTCTGCAGAGAACGAAAGTAAAAACTCGATTTGAAAAAAATGTTGAGCCAGTGCCTATTTCGTTTGATAGTAAAATAAACCCAAAACGCTTCTTCTTAAAAAGTGTTGAAATATTTTTAAAATTTTGGAAACTGTCCATGGTAAGGGGATGGGGTTACATTTAAACCTCATACCGAAGCCTTGCACCCCTGACAATTAGTTGCCGCGATAGAGTTAACTCTAAAGATAAATTCACTCGATTAAGTGGACACGCGGCTGTTCTAAATTAATTCCCGGCTACGAATTCTGATAATGCATTTTTTTCTGATGGTTGTTAGGTGTCTTTATTTATCCGGTTTAGAACAGCCAGAAAAATACCCAATGATACCAATTCATAATTGGAACCAACAAACAAAGTAATATCAACATTAAATTTGGAAACGAGTTATACAAATACAATTTAATAACAGCAAATGGCACTTATTAAAACGTCAATTTCTAATTATTAAGACTAAGGGAATTGAAAAATAAAAAATTATAACAATCTTACATGAGACAGTTTAAGCAATTACCAGTGGTATCCGACTACAAATGAAATAAAAAGAATGGGGAATCTGATATGCCTTGTGGTCTTGCAGTTGCCAAATCACATGCTAACTATACATAAAATACTTTTTCTATAGTTAGAGGCGTAGAGTCTAGCCTTAACTTTTTATAGTTTCTTACTCTTACTCCCTTATAGTGACATTATTTTCTTTCATCTTTCTTGTAACTACTTTTGCAGTCCTTATTTTTGGGGATGGGCTCTTTGTACAATTCTATTAGGTGTTTTAATAATCATAATAATAATAATAATAATAAATAGCCATTATTTAAATACAACAAAAAGAATATACCACAATAGAGTTGAACAGGTGGCGAGGTCTAGCAGCGCTACTTCATCTAACCACCAATGTAGTAGAATATTCAGAATTTAACAAGAAACTTTTTTGCCCTGCTATTTTTTGTAAGAGCCCTAGTACTAGTACAACTAGAACAAAATTTGTGTGACTTTGCGCGAATTAACTAGTCTCCTATTTTTCTCAGGAGACCATTAGCGATTGCAAAATTTTCAGCACAACAAAAATAAGACAAAAAAGGTGCCTAAATGTATCCGATTTGTCGCCACTTTGCGTAAACATGTTTTTGTTTCGTCTGATTGATTTGGACGCCGTATTAGGTATTTTATACTATTAGAAGTTTTTTACATTAAGTCTTAATCAATAACGTCAGTTAATTTTATGAAGAGATATGGGAGATACATGAGTAACTATAGTTTCACTACTTACACATTATTTGTTATGGTTAAAGAGTATTAATGATGTTTTTAGTGTTTCTCTAGTCACTTAGATCTAAAATAAAATACTGTGTCTATAGAACTGACAAGCTCGCCTCTGACAATAGAGGGAAAAGTAGTACTAGGTGACATATCCAAACCTGTCGAGCACAAAAACTTCGTGGGGCTGTGTTTTCCGATAATTTTCGCTCTGTAAGACCGTCTCCGGAGTAATAGAGAGATGAATAAGTGACGCGAGTGTTAAATCTTTTATGGATCGAGAATGGAAAACCGCGATTGAATCGAAATTGGGTTAAGAACGGATCGGAACGATTTCCTCTTTATTACCTCGATCCCTGGTAGTGGAGGAGAAGGGTTTTTGCCGTAATTCCCAGCGGCATACGAGAAAAACAATCGTCGCAAAGTATTTTTTTCGTTCGCCACTATCGGGCGGGGCGGGGGACCTCTTAAGTATTTTTCACCCTCCTGCACATAGTGGAAACTCGTAGTGCCACATTTTTTTTTTCTACACGTCCATAGGGTTTTCTCCCCAAAGTTGTACAAACACCACACGTGGTCGTCGACCATAAGCAAGAGGCGAAGGGTTGGCTATGCTTTGTTCTTTGAAATAAAATTGCTTTCGCCGAATTTTCGTGGATTTTCGTTTCCCGTTTCTTAATTGCTATTATTGGGATTAAATTCTTAGCGTATCAAAAGAAGAATTTTGTTTGTTTATTTGTTTTTTTTATCTTTGATAGGTGGTTCGTCACTTGGTAATCGATTATAAAGAGAATATTTAACAAAATATTTACTATAAAATTTGTAATTAGAGGAGTATTTTATTTTATCTAATATCTAATTACTTGAAAAAAGTCGAAAAGAGTGGAAATTGTGAGGTTGAGCTGCAAAAGTCTTTAAATTACCCAAAAGTAGCGAAATTCAATTTTTATGCTGCTTTGTTTCAATAAATAAATAAATCTTTTTATTTACTTTCGCGTCACAACAATTTACCAAATCAATGCTTGATCTCAATCAGTACTTTTCTACATCTCTTTTATCCGTTGACCTCACAATAGGCTAAGGAAAAGAGGTTTTCAAATTTCCCGCATATTGGTGATCTTTTCCGTTTAAAATTTAGTTATAAATATGGTGCCTTATTTTGTGATCAAAATTAACCAAAAATATTGATCTTAAGTTTTAGCTAGATTTTGCTTTTTAGCTAAGGTAAAGTGATTTTCTAAACTTTTTTATATACAGGAAATGAAAAATATTGCCACTCCACTTTTACATATATGACAACAGCGTATGATTTCTCGTCCTTCTTTTTGATTCCAAAATCGCATACCTGGGTCACAATGAAGGTTTATATTTTTATTATATATAATATTTTTTATTATATTTACTTTAAACGAGTATGGTTTATCCCCATCTGCTAAGAGTACAAATTTAGAGTAACCTGGTTTGTATTGTTCATGTTCGGTGATTGGGTACTATATTCCGAAATAATAGTTGACTTCTTGGACGTACCATTGGAGGTTATTATGGTTATTCGTTATGGTTGGAAATTTGAACTCTTAATGTTATAACATGTGGACAAAAATTTTTGGAAAAATTTGGAAAGCTGAAAACATCCAGGCAATGAGACAAACAAGTCTTTAAGAAATTACGTGTCATTGAAGAACTCTTATTTCTTATATTAAAAGATGCAACATTAACCGCCAATGATCATTTCGGTTGTTAAATCATCCATGCGTATTAAACTCCTTTTCTGGAACGACCGCCAACGAGTCCAAAGGCATCTAGCCCTATATTTCTAAAAGGAAATAGTTAACCTTTTTTTTTTTCATGTAATGTATAAAATGTTTTACGTTTATTTTTGGGTGGTGCGATAAAAATCCGATGTTCTCGGTGGCAATATTTCTGCAATTTGCGATAAACGGCGTTATATGTGTATGGGTGCGCGAGTTTATCCGGACCATAACCGTTCCGGTTTTTTTGTCTGTTTTATCAATACGAAACTTAGGATTTATGCGGTATGCGCCGGGTGTAATTTTGCAACCATGTTTGTTTAAAAATTGGGTGTATTAGTTTTTTATATATACTTACCTATAGCGTATATAATTTGGACGAGTATAAAATGCAAAGAATTAAAGAACCGATCCAACTTTTTTTTGCTGAAAATCCATCAGTTTCAGATGCACGGAGTAAATTGGCGCTGCGGCGGAGATTCACACAAATATTTGTCCCTGTTTTCGAATATATGAATAGTCAACCACCGCAGCGTCTCGGTTCACATTTTATCGCGCCTCCATTAGTTATAAATTCTGATGGGACAGAAATTCAATTCTGTTCGGTCGCGGCGATTCGTTTTATATTTTCGTGGTTCTATTTTTGATTGTCGAGCAAACACGGTTTCTTTTCCGTACGTCCGTTTATTCACGTTCGAGGTAGCCGCAAATTAGAAATCGTAAACGGTTAACGTCCAACATGAAAATCCGGCCAGGCTTGTGGTGGAAGTGACGAAAGGGCAAAAGATAATAGTAAATAACAAATTACCCAATCACACGGCGAGAAGAAACTTTCGCCTATGGGATCAATTATCATGTTATCCCACGACTATAACGTCTTGAATAGTAATTGTTTGCCAAGTTTCCCGATTTAATCGAGCCGACAATCTGAATCCTCCCCACTTTAAACGGCGAGATTCCCATGTTTCGTGGTTCCTCAACTTTCCGTGTAAGGGTCGACGCAATTTTTTGGAGTATCGATGAAGGCTTTCGGAAGTCATGCAAAAAATTTAGATGCGGGCATTTGAACGATTGCTTGTGAAAAACATACTCGTTTCCATACTAATTTGGTGTAAAATAAAGTCAAGAATAGCAGCAAGCGAAGCTTGGGCTTCCAGATCCACCAACGCTTGTATGCTTGTAATGCAGAGGCTTTCGTTCAAGACACCAAAGAATAATTACGATCATAGTACAAAGCAAATGTAAATTTTCTTTTTATGGGTATTAATTTTGCGTGCTAGCTGGTGAAGAATATTTTTCACACAGCGAATAATGCCTTCGTCAAAGGAAACTGAAGTAAGAAAAGCCGTGTCGTGGACTAATATGTATTTTTGCTGCTATAATTCGCTTCTCGGATATTTGAACTGAACCATCCACGAAAACGAGCTGGATTGTATTAGCGAATAAGCGAAGCAGTTGGTCTCAGACGGATTGCGAGATATCCCTCGCGCACACTTGAGCAGTTTTAAACGCTGCATGATTTTGTAATATTGTAATTGTTAACTGTAAGCGCGTCTTCATAACTCTGTGGTTTTATAACGAATTTTTTATTCTGTGAACAGGTACGCGTCACAACCAACTCTTATACTAATTATATTTAAACATGAGTAAAAACGAACTCGCCGACGACAAAGTGGTCGACACTGGCAAAGAAGGTGGAGAAGCTGCCACCAAAAAGGCCACCGCCGATAAAAAGCAAGAAACGAAAGATAAGGTTGATACCCAGAAAACGAACGATGCGAAGGACGTCACAGACACGAAAGAAGCCAAACAAAACGGCGAGGCTAAGGAGTCCAAAGAGACTTCGGACGAGGTAAGAAAAGAGCCCGCCGATAACTCCACTTCCCTAGAAGCGGACAAGAAGATCGAGCAAAAAAAGGACATTAACACGGTTGGTAAAAATGAAACTGCAAAACCGAAGCCCGCGGAGGACTCTTTGATCATATCCGCCGAAGAAGAGGAAGAACTCTATACCGCCACCGCGGAAGACGTCGCCGAAGAGAAGAAGCAAGCGACCGCTGTCAAAGAAGAGAAGGCGGAGAAGTCCAAGGCTGAAGACGGGCCCAAGAAGAAGCGAGAAAATTTGAGAAGCGTCTGGGTGTCGAACATATCTAGAACGACGAAAGCTGCCGAGTTGAAAAATTTGTTTTCCAAACACGGTAAAGTGACTACGGCCCGAATCGTTACTAACGGCAAGAGCTTCTTCGGTTACATATCTCTGGAAACTGCTGACATGGCATCTAATTGCGTCAAATTGTTGAACGGTACCAAAATAGACGACAAAAAGATTACCATATCGTTGCAGAGGCCCGACTTGAAGGAATCGTCGAAAACCGCACTTTTAAAGCGCAGGCGGGAATCCGCTTCGAAGGACGATTCCAAGTCGGTGAGCGGTAAAAAACTGGAAGACGGCGTTCAGAAGGAAGAGGACACCAAGAAGGCGGAAGACGACGCAAAAAAAATCGAGGAGGGCAGCGTTAAGAAAGAAGACGGGATATCCGCTGAAGAGAGAGCCAGGCGGGATGAGCAAAGGAGAATCGACCAAGACAGATTGGTCAGGCGCTTGAAAAGGGACCTCGACGAGGCCAGAAGGGAGCTTCTTCGCTACAAGAGGCGCCTCAATGACAGTCACATGAAGCTCCAGGGCGAAGAGACGAGGAGCAGCAAGTTGCGTCGCGACCTTGAAAAGTTGGAGGAGGAAATACGTATTGAACGGCGCAGATTGCATACGGAACGAGATGCAATGGAAAAGAAGAAGCGACTCGACGACATCAGGTTCGAGGCGGACAAAGCGATACTCAATAAGGAGATCGACGAATGCAAGAAGCTCCGCGAGTACCTTCAGGCGAAGATCAATGAGTTCAGTACGGCAGCAAGGAAGCACAAAAGTCGCTCTAGGAGCCCGAGAAGTCAGAAATCCGCACGGTAATTTGCTTAATTATCCGAGATTTAGTGAGTAAAGACGTTTTTGACGCCGGCGGCTCGTGTATATTTTATTTATTTACTTTATTTACCCTTTGTTAATGTTGGGATGCTTTGTGCGCAGGGGTTGTACAACAATTCGCCTATTTTTTTCCGTTCACTGTCCTACATTTTTCCCAACGATCTTGATACGTCGGTTTCGGCAACTAATTTTTGGACCTTTGTGGAGTTTTGGATTGTACCTCACGCAACGAAAACTTATCAGCAGAGAGGAATAACTACCGTCAAATCATTATGACGTGTACCGGTTAGTATCGAAACTACTCATGCCAGGAATGGATTCAGAAAATCTAATGGCCGTAGCGGTTCGACAAGAGGAACAGCGTGTTCGTATTGAAACGGTCTTCGCTGGATTAGAAACGTCAAATCCTTGCGCCTTATCATAGAAACCACACGAAAAGCGTTGTACAACCCGTGCCTTAGTCGTTATGTTTATTGATTGTATTTATTTGTACCTTTTAGATTATCACAAGTTCAACCAGGTCCTATTAAACGACGGTACGAAGCGAAAGATGGGAATCGTAGCCCACCACCCCCACCAAAGCTTAGCAATCGCTCCCCAAGGAGAAGCCGCGAGAGAACTCCCGATTACATGATTAGCAAGGGTAAAAGATTAAGATCTGAGGTCACTATGTCCGGTGGCTACCCGCAGGGGAGCAATTCGACAAGCGAGCGTTCCGGCGTGAGACCTTTATTACAGCCACCGCCGTCTGACAGGGATAGCTCGTGGAATTCGTCCTCGTACAGTTCCAGCGCGTGGAGGTACGGAGCCAGTGGTACCTCACAAAGTAGCCATCCAGGTCCAAACCACTCGTCCACCGCTTATCCATCTTCATACGGTTCGTCTTACGGATCATCTTCAATGGGTCAAAAGCAGATGTTCTACGATTTCGGGAGTAAAAGTGGGGGCTCGTCAGGCCGCGGGGGCCGTTATTAGTTTGTCACGATGGATATGATTTTTGATTGTATTAATATTCTTAATAACTTAGTGTTTTTAGTTCCAAATAACTTCACGTTTTATTATATTTCCCGGAATGTGGAATTATTTGCTAGACTTAAAATTATATAGTTTATTCGACGAACGTTTTGTATGTTTCAATTTATGTATATTGTGCATACCAATTTTAGTGTAATAAAGCAAATTGAAGAGAGAATGAGTCCGTTTTCTTTAACCTGTTTTGCTCGCGCTTGTTGCGCTGAACTCTTGGTTATTGGATCTTTTATGTAACATTAAAAATTATGTAGAAAAGAAATAATTTATTTAAAAGTCAATAATCATTTGGAAACTTATTTTTAAAATAAAAGTCACCTTAACTACCAGAAGCATCGCTTAAGCTTTGACAAAAATAAGGACCATCAAAATTTGAAGTTTTTGATGGTGTGGAGGGGATGAAAGTGATTTTAACTAATCAATATGCTGTCGAATGATGAATATTTGGTGCCGTTTCTGTTGCGTTTGGTTGTTTTTTTCGCCACGTTTTGCAGTCATGACCGTAGAGAATTTTTCTCATTGAACCAAACCAAAGCAGATCACCCTCCATAATGGTCAAGAAAGGGTTTCAGTCTGAAAAATTGTAGATATGTTTAGACCTGCAAATATCATTTTTGATATAAAATTCAAAATCTGTCAGAAACGGTAAGAAAGATATGATACTATATACAATAAAACATTTAGTAACTTAGTCCTGGCATGTTTTTATTTTCAAAGAAACTCCTACAATATATTTTAATACTTTTTACAAAACTTCTAGATTAGCTTTTTTAGAGCTCAACTGAAACCGGCTCGCATTCTATTCTGTATAGTGTGTCTCAATCTTCATCGTGTTTGCTTTCGACGAACCCTTCCCAAAAAAAATTTAATGATGTTATTACCTATTGGGTGAAGCCATTAACAACAAATTATTCTTACTTGAGTCGTATTGTTGTATTGAAATCATTTGTTGTTTAAGGCAAAACATTTTATGAAAAATGTGTATGAAACTTAAATCACTAGAGGACCTATTAAACAAGAAGCTTTAAAACAAACCTGTCTGCCTACAAAAACGCCAATATCGTCGACAATAGTGGAGAATTCAAGAAAAAGAATAAACGTAGTGATTTTCAATCTCACCGTATGGAGAATAGTGATCAGGACCTAATAAGAAGGAAAAATATATTGTCCTTGTCGAAGCGAAGTTATTCTTACCTTGAATAAATTGAACAAGAATCTAGAACAAGATGAAATAAATATAAATATAAGCCGTGTCAACCTCCACTGCAAAATAGACAAAAGGCAAGTAACAATGGAAAGATACAGATTACGCACTTGGAGATTTAATTACCTTCAAGAAATTAAAAGATATATATTAGACAACAAAACCATTATTTGCCTTGATGAAACATGGTTCGAAACACAAAACACTGCATCCAAAAGATGGGTTGATAAAAGAAAACACATTACACGCTGAGTCAGAAGACAGACAGAAACTGCTTGCTATTGCCTGCAAAGAATATTAAGGATTCTAGCTTGGTTTATCATGAGGATACAAGTGCAGAACTTTTTGGAAATTGGTTTCAAAACAATATTTTAAGAAATATTCCTATAAACAGCCGTCTGCTACGCAAAGCACCAGCCTTATCAAGTTCAAAACTGAAATCCAAGAATATTTGTAAGATACTTATTTTTAATTCAGTCACAAAAATGCACAACTTTTGGAAGTCAAGCACACGTTCAATTAAGAAACAGTATGTATGCTACAATTTGGCTGAACAGGCAGGGCATACTGTTTTACGTCTTCCACCATATAATTGCATAATTAACACATAGAGCAATTGTAGAACCACATAGAATCAAAGGTCAGAGCAGAAAATCTTATTCCTACTTTAAGTCCCAGTGTTATTGTCTCGGATGACTGATTCCCATAGTAAAGACCTGAGTCGCGGTTAAGATTGGTTGCTTATAGATTTCTATGGATTCTATAAGCGACCAAACAATCTTAACCACGACTCAGTCATCTGAGATGATGTTCATTTAGCCCCGCCCTCCTCAAATCATATATAAGCAGATACAGAGTACAATACGAGTCAGTTTCAGTCAAGCCAACAGGATGATTGGCGAAACGTCAGCAAGTTCGAATCAAAAGCTACCGACGCAGGAGGAATCCAGAAGTTTTGTAAATAGTATCCTGGCATGTTTGACTATAAAAATTGGAAATATAATTTATTTCAAATGTTACAAAAGCTCTTTTGGCAATAACTCGTGAACGCGTGAATTTTGATGTACTTTCAGTTTCTGTTGAAATAGTTGTATATATAATAAAAAACTAAATGTTTGAATTGGCACCCTCTAGCGGGAGCAGTTATAACGAGTATGTCACGGTTATGTTTTTTTTTGTTAAGCAGGGTCTACTTTTTTCAACGAGCTCTAATTTGCTCAAATGTGTTCAGTTAAAATAAAGTTATAGGCTATTTACAAAACTTCTAGATTCATCCTACGTCCTGCCGACAGCAGTTTCACTTAATCTATAATGTTCCCTAGAGGCATAGATGGGACCGTGAATTTTTTCCAGTAATTTCTTTTTATCACTTTAGTTATAAAATTATCACCGCACATCTCTACAATTCGCGGTTCCCTTAGATACAGCCGCTCACCTCATTTATTTGCCCACCCGGTATATTTTCTTGTGATATTTTAAGTGCGAAGAATATTTTGATTTGAGTTGACAACGCTACAAAATCTATTTAATTCTCCAATACTTCTAATAGGACACTCAGCGTGAATCACCTTTTACACGACAGACTCCCGTTTGCAAATGAAATATATTTCGTGAACGAGCAAGGACAATTTTATTCTAGTCACCTGTTTCATTGGCCCGTCTTTAACGAAATCAATAACTCATGTACCGCCCATCGCGAAATGCAAATTTTTCAGGCCGAAAAATCACTCCAGATTTACGTTCGCAATATCGTGGAATAATTATTCGAAATAGATTCCCTATTTATAAATTGAATCTGCCGTGGCAGATGAACCGGATATCCCGATAAAAAGGTCGAATATTAAAACTCGGGCTGAGCGAATTTAAATTATGTAACTTGCGCCCCATCGGTTCGCGCCGTGGATTAAAAACTTTTTCATCTTTTCCGTATATTCCGTGTTTCGCCGATCCGATTAGTCGAGTGGAAATTTGTTTTTATTGTTCTCCGTTTCCGAAGCCCGATTTCATTTGGGTTCGGCCGGCAGTTTCGAAACTAAAATTGAAATTAAAAAATTCGCTAAACATTTTTAAATTTCTAACAGTGGTGAATAAGAAAGTCAGATATCAATGCCAATGGACAGATCGTCATATACGGAATATTCGCCATAAAATAAATGTTTGACTGTCGCATACGTTGCTACGCAGTTTTTCCATCTGCACTTTGCGCATCTTCTCGCAGCTGGTCTTTGAAGTAATGAAATTTTACGATTTACGTTTATTTTTTCACAAAAATCTATTTTTTTCCAAAGAAACTTCTAGTAGCTATTGTAATACTATTTAAAAATCCTATTTACCCATCCTGCGTCGGTTGTTGATGAATCGAACTTGCTGACGTTTCAGCAATCAACTTTTTGACTTCTTCAGAGCTTAACTGAAACTGGTTTGCATTCTATTCTGTACCTGCTTATATATTGTTTGAGGGGAGTATTAGGCCACCAGATGGGCCCGTTGTGCCCCCATACCGTGCTAGAGGACGTCCAGAATGCCGCCGATCCTATAGAAGGTCAGCAACTCCTTTAGCCCAAAACCGTGCACTGAGTCCAGATTGGTCAGGGCCGTTTCGAAGACTTACCCATGTCAAAGCAGGGCACTCGGTGAGCAGATGAAACGGGGTCTCCTCCCCTTCCATGCACCACCTGCATTCAGGGTCGTCTCCAATGCCTAGCAAGCCAAGATGCCTCCTGAGCCTGCAATGTCCTGTGTAGGCCCCTGTTAGTGCTCTACACTCCCTTCTGGTCAGTCCAAGCAGCTCCCTGGACCGAGGGAGAGCGGGCCCATCCATCATAAGCCTCGCCTGCCTCATTCCCGGAGCAAGGGGGAGGAGCTAAATGTAGGATTGAGGTCGAGCTGTATTCATGAAAGGACCTGAATCGCTGTCAGAATTGTTTGGTTGTTTAGAGGTTCTTCTAATTTTTCGAATTTCCCTTTGGTAGAAGAATTAATTACATATAAGAATTTTGGTTTGGAAGAATAAGATTTGATGTCCCGTTTCAGGATTAGGGAAGGGTGGAGCAAGGCGGCCCACTTAAGCTTTTTATTATTTTTTGTGGCTTTTAACCATCAAGTCGATTTATTTTTGACTAGGTTTACCTAAATTTAACCAAATTTTGACAAAGTTTCTAAAAAAAAATTATAACAAAATATTTCGTTAATTTTTGAGATGAGTGTATTTGTTGTAGTCAACGCTCGTTGATGTTCTTTTAGCCTGGTTTATCCGAGCATTCATAGAAATTCCGAACCAATATGGACATCGGTTATCCGAGACGAATGTTCCTCCTTTAGCTCCATCTCCCTCATAGTGTATAAGCAGGTACAGAGTAGAATGTAAGTTTTAATTAAGCTCTCACTAAAAAATAATAACAAATAATATCACAATTTCCAAAAACTATACCTATGTCACGTCCATACTCTCTTTTTTTAGTTTTTTATGTTTATTGCCACACTTATTAGAGAGGTTAAAATATCAGTGATAGGAAACAATGTTTTTCTTGAAATGTTTATTTATTTATTTATCAACGAGTCAACCGCCCAATATAAAATAGGATTCACATAAACAAAATAGTAAACAACAAAATAAAATAAAATAAAATAAAATTAAAACAGAATGAAATAGATAGAAGACCTTACCCTAATATGACAAACATTGGTTTTCCAAAATATTAAATATTGGTATAGTTAGTCGACACGACAGTAAAGACACTTATAAGAGTAGCGAGGCACCAACACAATGGTATACAATACTATTGCGAGGAAAAGCGGAATAGTTTTACCGACAGTCTTTAAGTTCTTTCTTAAATATTTTTGCACTCTGGAAGCAGTCAAGTTCGTCAGAAAAGCGATTCGCTAGTGCAGCTGACCTAGTAAGAAAAGAACTCTGCCCATAGTTAGTACGATGGAACTCCACCTGGAAGGAGTTGTTT